AAATGCAAATTGAAGACTTGCATATTAGGTTCCCTTTATGCATTTATCTGCAACCTAAATGGTTATATTATTTAAAATATAGATCTTTAGGAATGACTATGGTTCTTTATAGCACCTTCAACACTCAAAGAACCCTTTGCATGCTCAAATAGTTCTTTGCCTGGTGAAATGGTTCTTCAGGTTGATGGAGAACAGTGGTGAATCCCTACTGACATCGCTAAGAATGTGGCGGTTGAATAAAGAGCTCTGTGAAAAGTCCCGATACAGCCCTTTCCAAATGCAACTTTTTTTCAAAAGTAGGTGCTAAAAATACAGCCGTCTGGATCAGACGTCAGAAATTCTGCACAGCTACGTTTTGAAAGGGTTTTCCCAGACGACTTCTTTTATCCCTCTGAGTTTGTCATAGCAATACAAACATGTATGTCATCTTAATTGTACATGTTTATTTGCATCAGCAAATAATATACCTATATATCTGTATACCTGACCTCCACCTTGGACGCAGAGCTTAGGCGCAAGTTTGCTTGCTGACACAATATAGCAGCTCTTACTAGCGTTTGTAGACCAAATGAAGCCTCCAAATGTCGCAGGTAGGAATATGAGAGACTGAAAAGACTGAAAATGAACACATCCTGGGACAGTCTGCAGGAGTTGAGGCAAAGAAAGTGAGAGGAAGAGAGTGAGAAAGCTGTGGTGTGTAATACAGACAATGTTAAGCACGTATATGTGTGTGTGTGTGTGTGAGAGAGAGACCCCTAGGCCTGGATGTGAGAGAGAGTGAGGGGAAAGCAGAGACTGAGTAAGTTCAGGCCAAGGTTAAGAACAGGAAATGAATCGCGTCTGTGGGGAAGGTTGCCGTGTGACCACAGGCGAAAAACCACAAGTCAAAATCTCTCTCACACACACACACACATGCAGACACACAATTACATGGCTGTAGCACAATCCGTACCTATTTTAACACACACACACACACACTGAGGCACATCGACTCGCAAAAGCACACACAGATAAACCTGTTCATGTAAATCTTCTCAAGGCCATCTGTTATGCTGTATGAATAGAGGCCTGTTCATCGTTTTAGATACATTACATGGCTACAGAGTTGAAGAGGGCATTGAGATCCTGGGTGCGCCCACTTATGCACAACACAACCACTTTTTTGTGGTCCACTGCATGTAATATACAGAAAGGAGAACAATCCTGTGATTTTGCTGATGACTAACACAAGTTCAGAAATCAGACAAGCCCAGTAAACCTGGGATCTTTGGGATTTTCTGCCTCTAAGTTTGTCATCAGTTCTTCTTGCGTACGTGTATTCACTGAACGACCGAATGCTAAACACTATGTGTACTGAATTTATTAAGAAATTCGAATTTTTCTGCTGTTGGCTGAAACGTTTTAATGTGTCTTATAGCAAATTAGCTAAATAGGAGCATGTCTAGGATAAGCATTGCAAAGATTTACGAACGCTGATTCATCTCGATGGTTTTTAATGTGTGTCAGTGGTCAAATTATGTGTAATTTAATTCTGATTGCGGGTTCAAAGGTTGTCGTGTAACTGTTGTTTAATCACACTGTCATTACAGTCGTTAAGTAATTGAAAAATCCGACCCCATCGTTGAAAAGAAGCACCAGCTTTCGTACAACGGGCTTTGATTTTGGTTGATTCGCGCACTTGGTGTCCAGCAAGATTAAGCTGAGCTCCCGAGCATATAATATACACCTGAGCTGCGAGTGGAAACAGACCATACAGTGGTCAGTATAATACTATGTTTCGGACTTCACAGGACACTAAAAGAACACAGTGCACAGTCTGATCTGAAATTACAGACTGAGTGGACATATCTGTTGTCTTTACCGCTGCTGTTGGAACAAAACTCCTTTTTTTGCGTTTTTCAGTTTTTGACATGTATTGAAAATGTTTGTTGCCTTTTACGTTGTGTGTAAATTTAATGAAGAATGGACCAAAAGAAACGTCCCAAAATGACTTGGTAAAACGTCTGGTTCCATTGACTTACATTAAAAGTGAAGCATGTTTTTTCCTTCTCCTGTAAAGTTATCATTTTGGAGATTTGAGATTGTTCCAACAGCAGCAATATATTCCTTTGTCCTTATGTTTTCACTGTAAAATGATGCTTTCCCAATAGTACAAAGCCTGAATTAGTAATAAATGTTAAAATATGCTTTTAGTCATTTTTACATTGTACTTTTTAATGCTGTTTGTATGTGAAGGGACAAAAAAGTGTGTGTGTGTGTGTGTGTGTGGTGTTCCAGGGGAGTGTACCATGTGGCCATTCAGACAAAGGTGTTTAGCATGCATGAATCATCTAGTGACTTGCTGCCATATTGCAAGTGTGTGTGTGTGTGTGTGTGTATTATTTGTGTGCACTGCTTTATCGCTCTCCTGCCTTCATCCTTCCCCTCCCCCCTCCGTCTAGCACCTTATCACTCCTTCCATCTATCCAAATTTGGAAAAAGCTTTATTGGCGTGACAGGCCCTGGTCGGACACGAACGTGTCTGTCACGGCGGAACAATGCATCGCCACGAACGATATTCATATGATAATAATGCCATCAGACCAAGACAGTCGCAGCATCCTCCACTCCAGAGCGGGGGAACGCTCCATGCCCCCTTTTTTCACAAGAAAATTACCAATCAAATATGGCTCATTCAGATGTAGCTCTCCCCTCTAACCCGCCTCTCCACCCACCATCTTTCTTTCTTTCTCTCTCTCTCTCTCTCTTCCTCCGTCTGTCTCGCTCCCTTCTTTCTCCTCTCCCTTCGCCATGTTGGCAGGCCCCAATCTACCAGCTGATAGCAGCATTCCCTGGCACAGTGCCAACTGGCACCACTGCAGGAGAGGGAGAGAGAATGAAAGAAAATTAGTGAATAATAGAGGGTGGAGGAGTGAGAGAGAGAGAGAGAGAGAGAGAAAGAGAGGGGGATGGGAGGAGAGGGAATCTGTGGAGGTGAAAAGATGGAAGAGAACGAGGTAGCGATAATGGTGGATTGAAGAGGAGGGAGAAAGAGGGAGGGAGGGAGAGAGAGAGTGTGATTGATATTGTGGTGAGGCACGGTTGAGCTAAAATGTCAACTGGCCGCTCTGCTCTCTATGACATCCGAGACAAGTGTGCCGGACCCACCTACAGAAACATATAGAAGCTGTTTACACCTTGAAACCACGTGCGTTTCCAAAGATGGGGCCACGTTCCGATTTCATGGGGCCGCAAAAGGCCAGGTGTAAACCCACCGACACTGTGATCGGATTATAATCAGATCATTCAAACCACAATCGGAGGTGGTCAGAGACAGAGCTTCACAGCACCAGCGCTTTCTGCATTCGCATGTAATTATGTAAATGGAAGTGCGTCTGTCGAGTGCTTACTAGCAGGTGAGAGGATAAACAAGGAAAGGCAGGATGGAAGATGGGCCAGGCCGGAGATATCCTGGAACCAAGCGTCTGAAACCAAGCGACCAAGCTTGCCGATTCGTATCGTAACGGCGAAAAAGTAAACGGAAGTGACGTTATGCGTTGATGTGCTTTTTACATGGGAAAGTGATCTGATCTCATGTGGTCACACTGGGGACGCATTTTAGTGTAAATGGAATTAGGTCCTGTGAAGGACTGGAGGCCTGTCCGGGGTGTTTCCTGCCTTCCACCCAATAACTGCTGGGATTGCCTCCAGCACCCCCCCGCGACCCAGGAGGATAAGCGGCGTAGTAACGTGTGTATGTGTGGAATTCGGTCGTAACACTTTAGTGAAGGTGTAAACAGGCTCAAGTGTACAAGCAATTCACTTTCAAACACACTTATATGAAGGGCTGCTCGATTAGGGCCAAATTCGGGTAAATACTGAAATCACGATTATTTAACACGATCACTTTTATTGAACTTTAAAAGTGTCTTTTTAACAGTGGCTTTTCTTGAACTTTAAGTATAATTCAGCTAAAAACAAACCAAAAAATAAAGGGAAGGGATTTCTAACAAGACAAAATGAGAGCATCATTGCGAAACGGGATGCATCACAGTAATCTTTTTATCTCGATTATCTTATCTTCATAATCATTGGAAGCCAAATGGGTAGTTGAATTAAACTTTGATTAATCAATTAAAAATTCGATTAATCGCCCAGCCCTACATATACGTACCTCACACAAAACAGTAGCAGTTACAAACTCACCTGTATTCGTACATTCATACTATGCAAATATATCTGCATGGGTACAAAACAGAAACATACTATCGCCCACACAGAAAACACAAACTGTCACAAATAGTGACTCACACATACAGGCACAGGGACACACTCACAGATGTTCCTGTATTCAGCAGATTTTTTTTTTGCCACAATCATCAATGAGCTCAATTTTCTTTCAGCATTTTTTTATGCTATGTCTGGGCATGTCCTCGCACCGAGCTTATGTGCTGGCGCGTAAGTGTATGTGCGTGCGTGAGAGGGTGTTTTTCCGCATGTGTGAGTGAGACGTGATCTGTTTACCTCTGGTTGGATTGTGGGGGTGTGTGACAGATTATGATTTTATTCTGATTTAAGCAGCTACTGTGTGTGCGCAGGAAGGGCGTGTGGGGAAGTCAAAATATCACGCGCCCATCCTGTTTGGGACAGTTTGTGTCCCGCTGTGCCCCTAGCTTTTCACACACATACTCATGCATGCACATACACATGTGCACATGTGCTAAGAAGTGCGCAGTTATCTTGCATATTATATATTGGCCTCATTCACATAGGACAACTAGAATTTTCCTCAGTGCAAAACAATCGTGAAGTTATAAATATCTCTAGTCAGAAAATGAGTGTCCTGTTGAATCACAGGAACTGCCACTGAGTGCAGTGACTAATCTCATATGATGTTCTGTGACCCTTCTCACAGACATGTGCAGTGTCAATAAAAGTGTTTACAATTATTAATTTTGTTGTCGTAATCACAGGGCCTTAATCTATATGCACATGGTCAATATTTGTGTTGTGTTTTGCAGGGGTTTCTAGGTGGTGGTCTCCCAGATCACCATTCTCGAAGTGCATCCTCTCTCAGCCAAGGTCGTGGATCATGGAATACACACACTACTAGTGAGTACCCTCACTTCTACACAGGAAGTCAAATGCATGATGTGCACATAACACATATGAACATACTGCCTGTTATTGCCTAACTGTATGACCTCTCCCATTATCTGTCTGGCACAGAGTATGGATTCACCACCAGAATGTGTGCTCGCTGTCTCCTCTGAGGCACCCCTGTCCCCTCCTTCAATGCCCTCGGTAGATCACAGTCCTCACTCTTTACCGCAAAGCCCTCAATCTGCCCCTTCCAGCCCTTTGAGTACCCCATATGCACCCCTGTCACCCTTTACCCTTGCTGATGCCAACCAACAAGATGAAGAGGAGGATGAGGAGCTGTCAGCACCATCATCTCCCACTCCGGCTGTTGCACTGTTTCCAGGGGAAGAGCAGCTGTGTAGTCCCTCTTCGGAGAGCAGTCCTCCGGCCACTCCATCAGCACCACTGCCTGTTTTTGGAGCGCTGGAGCAGGCCCTCTCATCCGGGGCTACTGCCACCTGTAGTGATGAGTTGGACCTGCAGCTTTTCAACAATGACGGTGTGACTGTCCAAGGAGGTCCTACCACAGGCCCTGCCCTCAGGTTTCCCTGCCACGTTTGTGGGAAGAGGTTCCGTTTCCAGAGCATTCTGTCCCTCCATGCTAGAGCTCATAGTTTAGACAGGGACCGTAGGGCTTCTGCGCTCTACAAGACTGTACATGTTAAACCCCAACAGAACCATGTGAGTGATGGTGTGATTCGGAACCACAACAGGGATGTCCACCTGAGTTCAGTATCCAGGTCCCTGCATCTGAATCGAAGAGAAGAGGCTGTTCCAGAGGAGCCTCTGCAAACTGCCAGCAGCCCTCAGTTCCTGATGGATGGAACCATACCCCTGACTCCACCTCTTACAGAAGAAGCACCAGCATCTTCTACCTTTTCTCCTATAGGCCCTGTTCTCACTGAAGAGCCCACCCCTTCTGGCATAGCTTCTGCCTTTCGCTGCCATGCCTGCAAGGGTAAATTCCGCACAGCCTCCGAGTTAGCTCGTCATGTTCGAATCCTCCATAACCCATACAAGTGCACACTGTGCCCCTTTTCAGCTAATCAAGAGGAACGTCTAGCTGCTCACCTGCAGGAGAGCCACCCACCTGAAGATCCTGTGCCACCTCCTGTCTTCCCTTCACGTCCTATCACAGCTCCACCGCAAATGCCTTTGCCACAAGCGCCTGCTCTTCCAGCCTTCCGTTGTGAGACCTGTGGTCAGCGCTTTACCCAGTCCTGGTTCCTGAAGGGCCATATGCGCAAGCACAAGGACTCCCTTGACCATAAGTGCCAGGTCTGTGGTCGTGGCTTCAAGGAGCCCTGGTTCCTCAAGAACCACATGAAAGTGCACCTCAACAAGCTGGGCCTAAAGGCTGGCCTGGGGAATCTAGGACCTTCAGGATCTGACCAATCCAAAGGTCATGGGAACCAGGCTTTAGGAGCTCTCTACTCTAACCTACTCCTGGCACGCAGCATGGCAGGTGGAGGAGGTGGGAGAGGCAGTCGGACAGAGAGGTCAGAAATAAGTGCAGGCTCAAGCAAGTCTTCAATGTGGGGTTACCTGGGGTTGCCAAATGACAGCGGTGGTGCTAGCTGCATGGAACGCCTCCAGGCAGTGGCTCAGGTGGCGGAGATGGGTAATGGAGGAGAGAGAGGGGGAGAAGCACTAGATGGAGAAGAGCAGGCAGCCATGTGGCAGCTGGTTGCTCGCAGCCTGGCAGCAGTGCAGCAAAGCCAGCAACAGCAGCAGCACCAGCAGCAGAGATCTCAGGCGCAGCACCAGCGCCCTTCCTCACAGGGTACAGTTGCTGGGGAGGCCGAGCAGGTGCGTGCCTACTTGGGTGGCCTTGGTTTCAAAGAAGAATTGGAGGCTTCTGGGGCCCCCTGGGAATGCCCTGACTGTGGGAAGCTTTTCCAGAATCTTCAGCAGGTAGTGGCTCATGCTCGTGTTCACGTTCAGAAGCAGCAGAAGTATCCAAGTGCACGAAGTGGTGCAAAGAAAGAAGAGGATAGTGCACATAAGACTGTAGGACCTCAAGGAGGAGGAGAAGGAGGAAGAGGAGGAGGGGGACGAGGAAGTGGAAATGAATGCAGACATGAGGCCAAACAGCACCAGTCAGGAGTGGGAACAGCTGGAAGTTTCCAATCCGTCATAACACACCTTTCTAGTAAGGCTCATCTAATAGAAATCAAATATATCTGCTGATTGTATGAAGAAATTTCTTTCTTTTTGTTTGTGAATGTTTTTATGTCAGTTGAACTTTGCAGGAACTGTCGAAGATTTTAGGAGTTCAACTGTTTACTCTTTATTTTGTAGCTGAGTGCTTAAGGTTAATGACAATTGCCTGTTGATGATGAATGCTTGTTAATGACACTGATGTGCTAAGTATACTTTTTTCCTTCACCCCCAGGGGAGAATGGACTGAGGGTACCATCAGGACCTTCCACAGCTCCGAGGGAGCGTGTGCGGGGTACAGGAATGAAGGATTGCCCTTACTGTGGTAAAGCTTTCCGCTCCTCCCATCACCTTAAAGTACACCTACGTGTGCACACAGGTAAGGTTTACCACATGAAATAGGAGCCACGCACATAATACGAACAAAGTGCATAAAAATACGATTTTAATTCAGGCATATGACAAGAAGACGGAATATAGCTTTTGCCTGCCCTTATTTTCATTTTTACATCTACAAATGTTACTGTGCAGATAAGGGACTCAATGTTCTAATCTGGCAGATGCGTGAAAAAAACTGAGGTCAAATGATGACAAATAGTGCCATCTGCTGTTATTGAACATAACTGCAATGCACAAGGCACAGTAATTTCTCTCTGTTTCTATTTTAAAGTTTTATTCCATGCCCCTTCAATTTGTTTTTCTGTGCGTATATGGTTTTGTAGTAACAATTGTACTAAACTTGGAAACTTTTGGAAAGCCTTTGGAAAAACCTGCCCAGTGAATATTTTTTTAATGCCCACAATGTGTGCTCTCTTTTAGGTGAGAGACCATACAAATGCCCCCACTGCGACTATGCGGGAACCCAGTCTGGCTCTCTCAAATACCATCTACAACGGCATCATCGTGAGAGGAATGCAATGGCAACCTCTCCAAGCTCCTCCTCTCCGAGCCTCCCATCTTCACTGACTGGATCTCCAAGAGAAGGAACCCAAAAACAGCGTCGACCCCCCTCAACAAACCAGGGACCATTTGGGAGGGGGTCAACAGAAATCCCCACATCCAGACGCAGCCAGACGTTGGTCCCTGGACCTCTAGAAAAGAAAGACAGTCCTCATAAGCCCAAAGCTTCTCAGAAAGAAAGAGATTTGGAGAGTCAGTACCGTTTCCTGTCTGGGATGATGGGAGAACTCTACCAGGGTGGACTAGAAGGAGGCTGGACACCACCTCCAAAAATGCCTAAAGTATCCAGACGTAAGCCTCTTATTACAAGTCGTATGGTGCCGGCTAATGGATATCAGAGCAGCATGACATCTAGTGCTTCCCAGGAATGTGGATTTGAGCCTTTGGACCTCTCACGCCGCCCTTTGCCTGGAATGGGTGCAATAGAACAAGATCTAGGAGCAGTAAGTAGCTCTGGAACTCCACCATCAGGAGGAGCAAGAGAAGGTGATGACACTCTGAGCCAGTGTGTGTTCTGTCCATTCCGAACCTCGTCTGTTGAATTGATGGCCATGCATCTACAGGTCAATCACACCAGCAAGTCCCGCCGCAAAAGGGGAGCCACTGTGACCACTGACAGCCACTCCCCCAGAATAACCCTGCCTGGGTTGAACCGTGACCCTTTGGCACTGTGGAAGTTCCTCAGTGAAGGGGATGGGGTCATGGCCATGGAGGACTGGGTCAAATACAGGTCAAAGGCTGGAAATGGGGTCACCTTGGAAGATGGGGAGCTGGAGAGATCTCCGAACCAATTCAGAGATGTACCATCAGTTCTGGGAAACATCAAGACCACAAAACAAGGGCTTAAATTGGGAGAACGTGAGAATACCGATGAGGAAGAAGAAGACGATGTGGAGGATGGCCTGGAAGTAACCAGCAGCCCTGAAAATTACTCTCAACAGGACATAGGAAAGGATGTGTCCGAGTCTCCAGACATGATGCAGGATGATTTGCCCATAGAGGAGGAACAACTGGTGGGAAACTAAGATGTTTCAAAAGCTCCAGTGGAAGATGGATCTGGAGGGAAGGGTGTATAGGCAAGCTTAGAGGCTGATCATGTTCTCTCCAACACAAGGCTATCATGTCCATGTCACAAATAAGTAGATACGATTCTCAAAAACTTCCTCACACTTGAAATTCCCCCTTATCGGTTACACATCAGGTTTTTCACCCACAATCACAGACATGCAAACAGAAATATATCCAGTATTGTATGCTAGTCTTAGCCTGCCTGTCCAGGAGCCCTGAGGCCTTCTTGACTACTGTCATTGAATTGGTGTCTTTTTTGTCAGTGAAGATGATTGCCAAGTTGTATTTCTACACAGGTTTCTTGCTACTGTGAGTCTTTCTCTTGTCGCAGCACATCCAGGAATGTCAATCTTTAGAGCAGGACAAGCAAAAAATGAAAAAAAGCAAAAAAAAGAGAAACACTAAAATGTACAACATGATATTCTTTTTCATGATATTTCTCTTAAATGGAGAAATGGCTAGTTTAACGCAAAGGCCAGATGTATTGTGCTACTTCCACTTGACTGAATTCTACATTTTGACAACACTTCTACCGTGAACCAAAGGGGTGGTCACACTTCTTACCACACATTTACCAGGCTGTGAAGAGTATGCTGTGATGACTGAATGGTACTGATGATGACCACATTTAACAATGCTGGACAAAGATTATTTTCCCCACATATCCACACTGTCAGGTAGGTCTGGCAGGTCCTCTACAGATATTATATGAAACAGAAATTCTTCTACTTCTATACTCTATTTGTCTCAGTGCCTGGTGATGTATATGTTTTTTTAAGGGAGTCGTACAACACAGGAAAATATATACAGTAAATATAATACAATATATGTTTAATAGCTCTAGACTGTAGAGAGTTCTGGTGGAACGTTGTGGTGGCAGTTTGCGTGACCGTGTCCGTTGTGGATGGAAGAATGGAACACTAGAGCACTCTGAAATCGACACGCGAGAACAGCTGGCCAGTTGAAAAAGGCCATATGGCAGTGTTTACATCAGAAATACCACTTTTAACGAAACCAGATCGTCATCGCCAAGGAAACTTTAAGAAGGATTGGGATCTTGTTTCCAAGTTTGAAACGAAACACGTCGACAACATTGAGTTCAACTTCAAAAGACTCGGTCGGTAACTTTTCTTTTCTCTCTCTCACTTGCAACCCACCTGAGAGCAGGCGAGGAGAAACGAGTCCCAAAAGCAGCAGGACAAATCCGAGACCTGAGTATGCCGTCTTTTAGATCAGTAGTTTTGTTTTTTTTTAAGCAATGACAAGAAACTATTAATAAAAAAAAACACTAACAACTTCATAGACATCCCAGTAGAAAATGTGTAGCTTTTATTAAAATAAAAAGAAAAAAAAAACAACGTTATTTTAATTTCAAGAAGAGTCTTAAAGGATAAAGTGATATGAGTATCAGTAATAATAATGATTATAATGGTTGTGATAGAAGGCTGGTTTGCAATGTCTTAAAAAAAAAAAAAAACACTGTGCAAAGTTTGTTGTTTTCCCAAAGTAGAATTTTGTTCGCCTTTAAATTCTAGACCAAACTTTTTGTTTACGAGTTCTTGTTAACGTTGAGTCACTTTCGTTTGAAGTAATGCTGCAGATTCAGATCTCTGCTCCTAATCATACTATAAATCGATCAACCAATCAGTAGTTTGTTGATGAAATCAACTAACCAATCAATGACCTGATCAGACAAACAATCAAAGTGAAACCTAGCGTTAAAGTGCTGGCAGCATAATGCGTGTGATACCTTATTTATTGATTATTAATGAAAGTGTGTCAAACACACGCCGTCAGTCTGACTGACTTGCATTATAAGGATGTGATTTTCCGTCATGCACTTGTGTCACATTTTTTATTCCTGATTTTCCCAGCAGACGTGTCGCAAACTATCGAGTCCCTGCTTTCTGTACGCGACTAACTCGTCCCATCCTCACCCTACCTAATCCCCGAACGAAGCGAAAGCGTTCCCAGTTGCGGTCTGATCATCGCTACTCCAAAACCAGTACGATTAGAGGAGCTGTACCTTAGTGCTGCCTCGTGTGCCGCTCGTGAATGGAGATGGGTACCAGTGATTGTGACTGCTGGCCTTACTTTCTAAATGTGCATTATTGTGTTCTTTTGTGTGTAGAGCACCTTATGAGTTTGGTAGCCCCTGACGTGGTGGTCCTTAACGATTCCACTCCAAGCCACTGTGCCTTCTGTCCTGCGCACTTCCTCAAGTACTTTCTAATCTCACCAAAAGCACCTACAGTAACCCATGCTGTATCTGTTTTCCCCACTTCCCCATTTTTCTCTCTCTCTCTCTCTCTCACTCCCTCTCCCTCCTCCTTACTCCTCCGACATCAAGTATAGTTTTGTTTCGTGACTATTTATGTCATTATTTATTCTGTGTATTAACTTCATTCTGCACCATCCCCCTCTGACCTTCTCTCCCCCTTTCACAGACACCACTGGAAGGTGACGTACTATCTAGCATTGAGGCCTTTTTTTTTAGATGTTGTATTCATTTCTGTGATGTTCATTTGCCAATGAGATGGGATCAAGCTCTTCTTCTTATAATTATTTTTTTGTTGTCTTTTTGTCTGTTTGTTTTTTGGTATTACAAAAAGAAAAAAAAAGAAAAAAAAAAAGAGAAAACGTGTCTGTTTGCTGTACAGATAGAGCTAGAGATGTTGTGTTTCTAAGGAGAACTCTAACCACAGTGCCAGCTCTCCATCTCTCCTGCCGAGGAACGTGCCTACATGGACTGCGAGGATCAGGTCAACATGAATCTCGGCATAGTTTCTTGGCACATTAAGCGCCCCCCACCATGAACGATAGCTAATCCGTAAAGGAAGGCAAACACTGGATGATGCTTATCTATGGCACAGTAGCAGCCGGCCATGTTAACGGAAGCTACGCTAATTATGCGGCATTAAAAGTAACTACGTGGCAATCATCAACATTAATGGACAGCAAAGAGGAATACTGGTTTAAACAGGTTATAAGGCTGATGATGACATGCTGTCTGGGACCGGGTGTCTAGAAATCATCCAGAAATCAGATTTTTTGCCACTAATTTAAAAGCATTTCGTTTAAAAACAAGGGTGCAGTGTTCTGGGTAATGAGAGCTGGAGGGCAGGTCTGGGTTTGAACTCTCAAGTAGTTGACTGCTATTGCAGTGAAGGGGAAACTGATCTAACATAGTAGTGACTAATATGAAACTGTGGACTGAGAAAAAAAAAAATAGTAGCAAAGATTCAATAAAATATAAGAAAAATATGTTAACCCTCTCTTTTGATGTCGTGTGTGTGTGTGTGTGTGTGTGCAATGAATATTAACTGAATCAAACTGAAGAGTCGATCATTTTCAGAGCTAAGAGACTATCAAAGATATGCAGCTACATGAAGTAGCAACTTAAAGAGGAATTCCACCAATTCTTCAACATTCCTGAATAATTCAGTGGTTGAGATGCGAACAGGCTCATTTAGAGTGGTTTGGTGTGAAATGGTTCAGATTTCGTTACAGTGGTGGTGATAGGAACCAGACGTCACAATGTCTACAACCCAAATATGGACGTTTTATTTACTATCCAAAACCACCAGTGAACCTACACGAGTCTTCTGAGTTTTATATTTAATATTGATGGAGGTAAAATGTCAGAAATGTGAAAGAATAAGTTTTCTTTGGGGACCCCTCCACCATGAATGGGTTTGAATAAATGGATTAAAATACATTTTAGGCCAAATCTTTATCACAAAACTGTCATACAAACAATGTCTTGGGCATGAAGCAGCACATGTATAACCATTTCATGTAGTAACTCTCTGTGAGGGAGCTTTTAGAGGTGGACGTCTGGTTCCTATCACCACCACTGTGAACGATTCCAATTTTAGAATGGAGCATTTCACACCAAACCACTCAGAACGACTTTGTTTACATCTGAGACACTCAATTATGTAGAAGTCAGTGGAGTTCCACTTTAAAGCAGCACTATGTAACATTTGGGGATTTGGAGACCTCTCTGGCGGGAATGTGTAATTGCACGCAACATGAGAAGCAACATTTTGTGACACTGGTTGTGCTTGGGAGCCCTTCCCTGAGCGGATAAATCTGATGACTGCAAGCGAGTTGAAAGAGTATTCAAAGAGAACTCAGTCAAAACAACGTTTTTCATCCTTTTTTTCGCAGGATGTGAGTGAATTATCTGTTGTTATCATATCTTCGTTTGATGAATGACGTGGTTTAAAAACTCCTGCCAAATTCGTCCCAGCACCTAAATGATTATTTCAGGCTTTATGGGTCGACTTGTAGCAGCACCTGCTCACCATACTTTAACAAGTTCTTTCTCCTGACTCAGTAAAACCACTTCTTTCCCCTTACATAGTGCTGCTTTAAGCTGCCTTTGAGCATGGAACTTTATACAAGAGGGGTCGTGGGAGAACAGTGTAGCTCAGATGTTACCCTGATTACCACCAACCCCACCTATACTGGCCTGAGGTGAGACACTAAAGGTGAGACACTAAAGAACAGGAAAGTGTACCAGGACCAGGATTCACACTTACAAGGGAATACCACAGACAAATTGTCTGCATAATTCATTATTTAAGAAGTCATTCAAAGTGATTTGATTTGTGCCAATTTAGAGATTCCGTTCACAGCAGTGGTGACAGGAACCAGACGTCCGAAGTGTTCCATGCCTCTAAAAGCTACATTGCAGGAAGCTACTACAGGAGATGTATATGGATATGCTGCCTGACACCCAATACATTGTTATATAATTCTGAAATAAGCTTTTGAGATTAGCCATATTTGTAAAATCCATTTATGATGATGATGGAGGGATGCATGCCGGGCGTAAGAAGAAACAGTCCCCAAAGAGAACGTATTTTTTCACATTTACTATTTTACCATTATCAACATCACACATAAAAACACAGAAAACACTTAAGTTTCAGAGTAAAATGAGCTCAAAAAATTTGCATTGTAGAAATGAGAAATGAGTCTGTCAATGACATTTATTTTTGACAGCAAATAAAAACATCACACTTTAGTAAAATACAGATTTTTTTTTCTGAATAACTTCAGTTTTACCAACTGCTAATGTCAATTTCATTAATATACTTAATAATATAAAAATACAAGTAGAAAATCTCAGTTTTCAGATTTTTTTTCCCTTTTTTCTGTGTAAATGTGGAACAAAAAGACCAAATTTACTTTATTTGTCTTTGTTTACTAAAGGCGGTTTAGTTGTAACACCGTGTATCATCTGACCCCGCAGTAGGTGGCAGTACTTAAGTCTAACTAGCACTTGGTGTGAGCTTGTCACCTGCCTCAAAATGGTGCTACATTGCAGGCAACGAGATGGTGATTAAAGTACACGGCTGGATTTTGTGCTCAGCAACTGAAAAAAATGACTTACATGCCCTGAAAAACACTCCTTGGCACAAATCTCTTTTCCAGGGTATATTTTGGTTTGTCCATCTGAATTCACATGACCAAATCGTAAGGCAAATTATTCAGTAACTGCATGAAATAAATGTACATTTTTATTTTAGTTTTTTTTTTGTAAAAGTTCCCCTCAAATTAACAAAACGTGTTTTATGATCGCACATATTTCTATATGCTTACAATTTACTGCTGAAAGCCAAAAATCTTAGACGCTCTTTGTATTATTTTATAAAAATAATGTTTACAGAGCAGATCACTGAAGAAACGCCATCTGTTTAGAGTTTATAGCCCAGATTTGTGGGAAAATGGGTTCACTTAAGTTCACTTACTTTTACGTACTTTTATTATAAGGGTTTAACATTACATCACCCATCTATTTGACTGGAAAGAAGACAGTTACAGCTCTCATATGACCCCCACCTTCTGAATGTAGCTTATGAAATATGAAAGTTATGAAGAATATGACGAAGTGCGTTTTGGAACCACCGGTGGTCTCAAGGAGTTGAAGAGGTTAAAACACTGACCAATCACTCTGAATTTTGGTGGGAGACTTAGGCTGTTCCCTGCGCTGATATTTTATAGGTGACACATTTCCTTCACTAATGTACAAGTGATTGTTTTACCTTTCAGACTTCGCATGTAAACAGTGTCATCGTATCAGAACAATTATAAAATGTTGATGACCTCAGCGCTGTAATGCAGAATGACCTACACAAACTACACAAATGAGTGGAAGATGCAGGCCACAGGTGTCCTCTGCTGCCCTCTAGTGGACAAGAGGTAGACGTATGCTTGGCAATTTACCTCCGGCACATGGCTTTCATTTCCAAGAAAGTGAAAGTACGAACACTCCCAGTTTACCTGCTGTACTTAAGAAAGTGAAAGCAGGTCTTCAGATACAACACGTCCACCAACTGTCCAGGTGCTGCTCTGCTGTCCAAGCCTCTCTTAAAATGAAGGGACTCCCTGGAAAAATGTTAAGTATGTGGTGAGATTTACTATTTGAAGGAAATTTTGATGGCAGTATGAGGTTGTCTTCCCAGTGTAGCCCCTTTAGATCCCCATGGGTTTGAACCTGGGCCTGGATTTCAGTTAATATGCGGCATCTTGCATTGCCATGATTTGTTATTCGTCGTCCTTTAAGTGAACTGACAAGAGAAATGCATCAAAAACAGTTGCGCAATTCCTTGCGACTGCCAGTGTATTTAGCGTTTTATGCTCATACTCAGCAGAATCTGTTCATTCTTTATTATTCCTTTCTTGTAGGATCATCCTTGGCTTTCTTGGCTGGAGCAGGTCCAGGAGTTCCCCTTGTTATGGTTGTCATTGGCTCAGTCGGGGATGTAGCAGTGGCTGCAGTGCTGACCTACGCAATCCTAGCCATAGCAATGGCTGCATTAATATACGGATTTACAGTTCCAATGGACTCAGTGATCGAAAAATGGCGAGACTTCTCGACCGGTGATGCGGCCCAGAGTTTGATCGGGTTCATTTTCAAAGTTCTGCGAGGTGCTAAACCAATGACAGTGCTAGGGGTTGTAGTAACTTTAGCCGGTATGTTTTCACTGTGGATGGGTAAAGCAAGCTTGCTAAATCCTCGTCTGGGAATTGCAATGGCACTGGCGTCTGAGCTGGCAACATTTTCAACAGCTACTGCAGTGATATTTGTAGTGGTTCTTCAGGAAGTTCAGCCCTTTAACTGGGATCAAAGTGTGAGCCCAGTTTGGTTAGCAACGGTGGTCCTGATGGCCCTGGCTGGGTGCTACATCATGAGTAAGGTAGCGAAAGTTCTCTGTGTTTTCCTTGCAGTGTGTGCCGCATGTTTCTATACCTCACAAATTGTACTGATGATCATCTTGACACCTATGCTAGTTTTGAGAGCTTGTCTGTGCCAGTGCGTGGGAGAAGGCCTCGCGTCCGTGCTAACGATAGCGGTCATGTCTACAGCAGTCGTTGGCCTGCAAGGTGCGGTAGGACCGGCTGCGCTTTTGATCCCCTATATTTTACTACATCTAAGTCAACCACACACAAAGTTTGGCCGTGGCTTTGTGTTCTCAACAATTGAAATTATAGCACTCTGGGCAGCAAAATCCAATGTGTGGTCAGTGGAATATGACCTTAAGCGTGTGCTAACAGTTGCACTTGGAGGGGAAACCATTCAAGCCTTGCCTTCTGTTGTTATATTTGTATTACTTTTTGGAGTACCCATAATGCTCGCCATATCCTTCGCAGTAGCAGTACAAATTCTTTTAAGCAAAGCACCAAAACCTGAAGCTGCAGATCGTGGCAGGCTTCTGGCTTGGGCAGCCACAGGGGCAGCTGTGGGATCAGCGCTGGCTTTACGAATGTATGGAGCCCAGAATATTCTCTTTGGTTTAGGATGCTTTTTGATCATATCTACTGCTCTGTATGGCCTTTTTGGGCAGTTCTGCCACCATTCTGTCCCTAGTAAACAAGCTGCTCAGCATTGCTCCCAGCTCAGTGACATGTACAAGACAACCTTCATCACTGGATTTGGGGTTGCTGTGATCCCAGGAGACTTGGGCTTTATATTGACTGGACTTGGGGTATTCGTTACCATTAAAACTGCCCGACTAATGCTGGAGCTTCAGGAACAATATAACAAGTTCTGGAAGATGATGAGCCATCTGGGAGCGAAGGCAATGAAGAGGGCATGGATGTGACATACAGGAGCTGGGGGTGAAGCTGGTCCACTGACCAGTAAGTGGATATGCTTATGGCACAAAATGAACACCAATATTTGATCTAATATCTGTATAATAGTTTGCAAATCTGCAAAGAATTATGTATAACCTGTAAAAACCCCATAAAGTATTACATGCAGGGGAAGAACTTGTGTCTGTGGAACAGTTCTGACAGTCATAAGTGTTCCACTGACATGAGTTCCAGCTTTAAGATGAGTTTCCAGTGTTTTGGTAACACATTTATGTTTATCCATAGCTCATGATCAGGGTACCTACTCACGTCTTCTGTGTTTTATGTTACACTGATTATGGTAAAAGAAAATTGTTTTTTGGGGCCTATTTTGTCTTACAATGCCCTACATGTACACATCCGCTGTACACGGTCAAAAAATGGCTCATCAGTTCAACCTAAAAGAATGACTTCATGGGGTAACAAGCGATTAAACTAGTTTTATTCAACGCAAAAATTACTTTGAATGAAAAGATTTGTATTTATTTAAGTGAATAAAACAAGTTAATTGTTACTGCATGAAGTAATTTTTTTTGGTTGAACTGACAGACCATTTTTTACAGTGTAGCACTCAGCATTTTACATCAAAATCAAAATGACTCTTAACAACGTACAGTACCAGTCAAAAGTTTGGACTTCTCATTCAGTGTTTTTTCTTTATTTTTATTATTTTCCATATTGCAGATTAATATTGTAGGCATCAAAACTACGAAGGACCACAGTTTGATAAAGAACTATAGAACTGTGTACCAGCACTACCTCCAGACAACACCGCTGACGGCCTCAAACACATTAAGAAGACAAGCCATTCCACAGATTAACTGTTGACAAGGCACATCTGTTAACTGAAGACCACTCCAGGTGACCTCATTAAGCTGATTGAGAGAATGATAATAGTGTGCAAAGCTGTCATCAAAGTAAAAGGTGGCTAATATGAAGAACCTAAAATATAGAACATTGTGGTTTGTTTAACACTTTTTTGTTTACTACATAATTCCATATGTTTTCCTTTATATTGTTTCTCAATTTTTGACTGTAATTATGTAGATCTCTAACACTCTATAATATGTCAAATTAAATTTTAGATTTGTATTATTTTTTCTAGGCTTGTGCGTCAGATTTTTCTTCTTTAATGTAATTTTGGGATGTATGTTCGGCCCTCCTGTACTGTAGCTATGTTATATGTTATAATAATTCCTCTAACAGTGATATTTGGAACATTTATAGCAACATACAGCAATTTTTATGCCCTGCTGGCTCACTAAAGGCCACAGTCTTTAACTGCATGCACAACTCAACTGTTGTTTTCCCAACTGACTTCTATGAGCTTTTACTGCTTGTTGCCTTATAATGTTCCCATTTACTTCCACTAGATCAGAGTCTTTTTTCATGCCAACATATATCATATTTCATTGAGTTTGGAAAGTGTTTTTTGCCTGTTCACCAGTAGATGGCACTCAATCACACTGTCATAGTAACATATACTGTAAGAGTAACACCCTTAAAATAACATCTCATCTGCCTAAATGCTCAGTACATTCATGTTTTTATTTTTAATGACACTTTAAGGTAATCAATGAAGGTGCTCAATAATCTGAATAGATTATTATTATTATTATTATTATTATTTTATTTTTTTTTATTATTTTTAGAGTATTAGGGTATTTAGAAGAGATAGTTTACCAGGTGACCAATGTGTGTTGTCCAGTTTGTCCTCAAATCCTAGCAAATCAATGCTCCCAACATTTGCATTTAAATGCATATGAAGAGCTAAAATGCAAACATCCACTGCATGTTTTTCACTGTGCTTTGGCTGGTAAGAGTGGTCTGAACATTTATTGTATTATTTGTCATTTGTTATTTATATATGTGGTGTTTAACACCTCTCTAACTGGAGGGGAACTCCACCAATTTTTCTAAATTCTGAGAGAATTGAATGTTTAAGATGTAAACAGTCATTCAGAGTGGTTTGGTGTGAAATGCTCCGTTCTAGAGAAACTTACACAGTCGGATTTGTTCACAGTGGTGCTGATAGGAACCAGACGTCCACCTCTAAAAGCTCCCTCACAGAAAGTGATTACGTGAATGTCTGATGTCTGAGACACTGTTATAAGTGTTGGTGTAAAACGTCTTGTTACTCTATGTATTTGAATCCATTCATGGTGGAGGGATACATGCAGGGCGTTGTGAGGTAAAATACTGTAAACAGATTTTACAGTATTTTACCATCATCAATATTCCGTATAACCCATCAGAAGACTTGCGTGGGTTCACTGGTGGGTTTGGATAGTAAATAAAATGTATTTCTGTTGTAGACATGGCGACCCCTGGTTCCTATGACCACCACTGTACAGAAATCTGAACCATTCACACCAAACCACTCTGAATCACTCTGCTTACATTGCAGTGACTGGATTATGCCCAAATAGCCCAGCACTGCATGTCTAAGTGTTTTCCCTGCCAAAACGCATATTTAAACCTCAGGACGGACTCATTCAGCATGTTGGGAGCTAAGAGAGCACTAGGTGCACTGCAGAGGGTCTCCAGAAAGAGAGTTGAGAAGTAGCGCTGCACACACACTCCCACAGTAGGTGCACCACAGGTATAATACATGTTCACTGACGGCATCGTAACACAGTGATGGTCCAACATGTTCCTCGGTGAGTTAGCGCGCCTGCGCATGAGTGGGCGAGGGATAAGAGGGGGGCAGAAAGAAGGGAAGGAGAGCGGAAGGGAGGGGAGTGGGGCAGAAGGGAGGGGAGGGGAGGGGAGGGGATTAGAGAGGAGAGGAGGGGAGGAGAGTGGGGCAGAAAGGAAGGGAGGGGGGAAAGGGGGATTCTGGTGTGCTGCTGCACGCAGCCGCACTGCTCACCGCTGCACGCGCACATCACTGAAAAGCCACTGAGTGAATCAGTGGGGGGGTTTGGACTCACTCAGGCATCGCACTGCTAACCAAGCGCCGCACTGGTTCCCCTCTCCGCCATACAGCCCTCCTGTTCCTGCACCCAGCGTCCTGTGCTTCGGAGAGGGAGCTTCTCGCAGCTGTAGAGGGGAAGAGGAGAGCGAGAAAGAAGAGAAAGAAGTCACTGCAGAACTCCAACTGCACCAGGATGAGCGAGGTGAGTCTGCATAACGCCGTCCTGCCGACAGCTCATTTACAGGACCATAACCTGGAGGGTCCTGCTGGAATGGATTTCAGTGTGCAGGGTACAAATCCCCCCCCTGTTGAATGATCAACTCTTACAGTGTTTGTGTACAGTTGGAAATTCAGCACTGGTGATTTCTGCTGTGTGCACTGAATGCAGTGAACACCACTGTCCTGTTGGAGTGACCGTTAGATTAGGTGGGAACACCGAGCGGCAATTTTTAGTAAGTGAAACACCAACTTAAAGGGGAATTCCATCAATTTTTCAAAATTTCTGAATAATTCAGTGGTTGAGATGTGAACAGAGCCATTCAGAGTGGTTTGCTGTGAAGTGCTTCGTTGTAGAGAAACTTACAGACTCAGGTTTCTTTACAGTGGTGCTGATAGGAACCAGGGGTCACAATGACTACAACACAGATATAGACAATTTATTTACCATCCAAAACCACCAGTGAACCCAGAGTCTTCTGTGTGGCACTGATGATGGTAAAATAGTGGGACATCTTGAAAAACAAGTTTGCTTTGGGGACTGTTTAGCCTTACAACACCCTGCATGTACCCCTCTGCCATAAATGGAGTATAATAAATTGATTAAAATACATTTTAAGCCAAAACTTTATCATGAAACAATGTCTCAGCCATCAGGCAGTGCATTCATAACTATTTCCTGGAATAACTTTCTGTGCGGGAGCTTTTAGAGGTGGACGTCTGATTCCCATCACCACCATTGTGAACAGTTCTCACTCTCTAAGTGTCTCTGCAATATAGCATTTCGCACCAAACCACTCTGAATGCCTCTGTTTATATCTTAACCATTTATTTATGGAGAATTTTTGAAAAGTCGGTGGAGTTCCCCTTTAATTCAGCCCTGGCGGCTTTTGCTGTCTATTAAATGCAGTGAGCACCACGGTGTCCTGCTGGAGTGACGGGCAATTCCAGCAAGTGAGACAGCAACTTAAAACGAGTTTGCGACTGGAATAAATACCTATAACACTCCACGTGCTCTGTCCCCTCTCTGTCCTTTCTCTCCTCCCCGCCTCAAAAACCGGGAGAAATGCCTAGCTGTCAGATCCATCCTCTCGCGCTTGGCTCTGGCCCCTTATGCGGATATCGTGCCCAGAAGGAAAAAACACTCGCTTTATTTTTTAATCCCACCCGTATTGCGACAAGCCCCGCTAGGATTGGCTAGTAGTTTACACTCACAAGACAGCCTGAGAGTGAGTATTCAGAACGAGCCAATCGCAGCGCCGATAGCCGCATGCTGTTAGCCAATCCTAGCGCAGAGGGCGGGGCTTGTCGGAATACGGGTGGGATTAAAAAGACAGCCCCACTCTGGCTTACACAATCAACATGCAGCAGCTCTGAGAGGCGTGACGTTAGTTTGACAGGTAGCAACGGTAGTTTAGCCTAACTAGCCGGTGCTCAGCGACAACACTTCTGGTCTGGACCCCCAGAGCAGGTACTATTTGGGTGGTGGATCATTCTCAGCACTGCAGTGGTCGGGGTGTGTTAGTGTGTGTTGCGCTGGTGCGAGTGGATCATACACAGCAGTGCTGCTGGAGTTTTTAAACACTGTGTCCACTCACTGTCCACTATATTAGACACTCCTACCTTGTTGGTCCACCTTGTTGATGTAAAGTCAGAGACGACAGCTCATCTGCTGCTGCGCGGTTGGTGTCCTTCACTTTTACTTCACTCAACCTCTTTTTCTTACCGTCCCTAATTTCTCCTTAGCAACAGTGCCAGAGCTTTCTGTAGCTTTAAAGGGGAATTCCACTGATTTCTCAAACTTTCTGCATAATTCAGTGACTGGGATGTAGACAAAGTGGTTCAGAGTGGTTTAAAGAGAACTGGTTCATTGTAGAGGTCCTCACTTGTAGAGGTACTTATCGTGGTGATGGGAACCAGGGGTCACTATGTCTGCAGCGCAAATAAAGTCATTTTATATGCTATCCAAACTGACCAATGACCTTACATGTGAGTTTTTGTTGTGTAATGTTGATGAAACTGTGATAAATCCAAGAAAATAAGTTGTCTTCGCCTCCTACCGGCCTCAGTGAACCTCTCCGCCATGAATCCATTTTGAATATCTTTCAGATCAAAACCATAAACCTTAAACCATCATAAAACAACATCTCAGTCATCAGCCAATATTCAGAACCACTTTGTGTAATAACTGTCTGTGGGAGCTTTTAGAGGCATTAAGTTCTTCGGTCGTCTGGTTCCTATCACCACCATTGTGAACAGCTGAGTTGGTAAGTTTGTCTGGAATTACATGTCAAACCCTTTTGACTGGCTTTGTTTACACCCTATTATGTAGAATTATGTAGAAATTGGTGGAATTATTGCCCTACTTGCACATCACAAAATGGTCACTGGCAGAGGATTGTAAAGTCCTGTGTTTTACTGAGGCGGATGTTTTTATTGACCTGATATAAAGATGGAAATCTGTTTGAAAATGTTATATAGGCTATATTTACACACAGCAGTAAAATCCTGAATGTGGACAGTGTTTGCTTGTGCCAAGCTGGACTTTAATGAACACTGTAAACACTGTAGGTGACCTTTTAGGACTCTGAATGTTTTGATGAATGATATTGCGCCTACACACAGATTTCTGTAAACCCCAGACTGTTAAATTGTTAAACTGTTAAGAATGTTAAATTGTCATCAGGGATTGTCCATTGTAAGCACTAACCATTTACACCAAGATTAGGTTTAATTCTGACACCAATGTAGCGTTTGAAGACACAGTGCTAATGAACAAACTTTCTAGGAGGGCAGTTCCAGTTTCCCAAGGGATCAAGACAGTCTTTTCTCTT